TTTTTAGTCCATTCCTCTGGCCGAACAGTCCCAGTAACTCAGCTGGCTTTACCTGGTGCTTGCCCCAGCACAGATGCCCCAGCACAGATGCTTCTGGCCCCGGGAGCAGAAACAACAACTGGACTTGGCTCTCCCTGTGAGAAGGAACCTGTGTGGTCCAAGGCTCCCCTCTGCAGATACAAGCCCTGACCAGCGAAATGGCTGGTCCTTCTTTCTATTGCTCTGAGCAGCTCCAAGAGTTCAGCTCCATTAACATCGAGGCAACAGTGGCTTCATGCAGCTCAAGCTGTAATTGCAGGAAGAGGCCAGGTCTCCTCCTTCATGGAGATCTCCGTGACCTGAAACTGCTTCCCAGAGATGTTCGAGTGCTCCATGGGCTGCTGGGGCAGAGGATGGAGCGGAGCTCAAAGGAGGTATGGTGTGGGGAGGCTGTTCCCATCCCTCCTGTTGAACCATGCTGCTGCCTCTGCTCTGGCTCCGAGAGGATCCTCAGCTCTCGAGTGCCCTCGCGAGGGATCTGCAGAGCCCTCTCCTCAAGACTGAACATAACTGTACAGCCAGTCCAAAGAGGGGAGAGGCCAGCGGGAGGTCTGCTGACGGCTTTGCCCCTTTCCGGTGCTGGGAACACACTTGCAAGCTGTATTCTTTGAGTCTGTTCGTTGCAGGCTCTTCGATCCACGTCCCACAAGCTGAGGCCAATCTCCTTTGTGCAATTCGTTGCATGGCTGCTTCCCCTGGAGATGCAAAGGGAGGAAATAACACATATAATCAGCGCTAATTTTGTGGTGGAGCACTCCAGACTGGCCTTCCAGAACTGGTTTTGCCCCTCAGCTGAGCTGCTCTGTAATTTTCAAGGTAATTTCTGGGGTTGCTGAGCTACCTATGGCAGTACATCCTTCCCTGCAGGACTACTGCTGCAGAGAAGGGGACTCAAAAAAAAAAAAGGGGGGGGAAAGATAGTTGGGGAAGGAGATGCATTGTTTAATAGCCCAAGTAGAATAAGCAAAATTTATTGGGGTTTTTTTGTAAATGAGGAATTGAAAAAGAACTTAGTTTTAGCATTGACGTAACAGCAGGCAACTGATAAGCTCCAGCCAAACCCGTGGCCTTGCCGTGCTTGGACAATGTGTGTATGTGCAGGAAGAGACGCTCCCGGAGAGATTATGAACCAGGTGCGGGGGGACAGCTGCCGGGAAGAGCTGTCCGTAGCGCAGGTGCCCAGGAGGAATAAATTCATTTCCCTCCGATGGTGCTGGACCACGTCCGCCTCCATCCTGGTCTTGCTCTGAGCTGTCAGAGCCGACAGAGAGCGGGTGGGAAGAGAGCTTTAGTTCCTCCGGAGCTGCCACGGGTGCATCCGCTCTCGGCTGTGCCCCACGTCCTCTGCGGTGGTCTCCCTCGCCGGGGGCTCCGCGGGTGCTGCACCCATGCCCTGGGGAAGCACACGCCGGGGCACATTGCTGAATTAACTCACGGTCTGGGAAGAAGGAGGGAACCTGAATCCCTAGCTGGGAGAAACCAGCTGGAGGTCCTTGCTGGGGGTCCTGCTGTCCCCCCCGGAGTGACCCCAGGGCCAGCCCCGCCGGGAAGGCGCTGGCGTGGAAATGCTGCGGCTCGGCATGGCGGGTGGGGAGGTTGGCCTTGTGCTTGGCACATATTAAAGATCCTTTTTCCGAACTGGCTGCAGATTTAGTCCCAAAGTTTAGAGAGAGGCGCAGTCACTGCTGAGCAGCCTCTGGACTTGCCTGCCCTGGCAAGGCAGGCACCATTCCCGCTCTCCGTTCAACCTGGGTTTTGGAGCAGGTGCGAGGATGATGATGCCGTTTACCAACACAGATCATGGTGAGCGCATCATCTAGGGGAAACCACCGGTGCACCCTTCTGCCTGGAGATGCTCTCGGAGCTCGTTCAGCTGCTCCCTTTGGACTCGCTTTTGAATTCCCGTGCAAGACTAAAAAAGCAGCATGGTTTTGGCAACCACTGCGCCTGGTGACTCTGGATTTTCCTCCGAATCTTTGGGCTAGGACCAAATCTCATCCTCTCGCATCAGACAACAGGAGCTGAGTGATGTTGTCTTCTGGCAATCGATCACAGGAACGAGTGTCTATTTGAAAACAGATGCCAATGTTATGAGTATTTAAGTTGCCAGTCCCCGGACAGAGACTGAAGAAAACCCAGAATTAACAGTGCAAATCCTCTTTTTTTCAGCCCTCTCTCTGTTTAGGCCAGAACTGGGCAAAATAATTCACCACAAATGAAAAAATTTGTGTGTGCTGAGGTGGTGTGACATTGGGTGGAACTGATCTGATCAAGGGTGCTGAAATGAGAAATATTTGCTTTCTGTATTTCTAAGCTATTTCAGTTGTCAGTGGGTCTCAGTTTAATTATTATCATTAAGTATTATGCAAACCTCAGTATGTTTCAGTCTGGGTTAGCAGGCTTGTTTTTAGTTTTGTGCTTAGTTGAAAAAGCTGTGAATGTTTGTCCCAAGCAACTGAGAAAATGGTTGTTTGGGGTTTTTTTTCCAGAAAAAGCAAATATTCACTTTGTTTGCACAACTACAGCCCTGGCCTAAATAAAACATTGTCCACGATGACGATCTCTTTTGCTTCATGAACTGAAAACAGCTAGAGAAAAAACAGAATACGGTAAGACTCCAGGTCTCACTTGGAAGACTTTGCTGGTTTCTTTCACAATCTCATTATTTATTTTTAAATAGAAGTCTTGTTTCAGAAGCAAGCAGATATTTTGTCTTTAAAAGGTCATAAAAATATCTCTGGATTAGAACAGCTCGGGTGGATGATGCTTACAGCGATGCGCCCAAGCAGCGTGAAGTTGCCCTTGCACACCTTGGCTATGCGTTACAGACACAGTACATAAAACCGAGAGCGAGAGAATATTAAAACACAGACTTCCCTCAAGATATCGACATAACATGATTAACGCTTTGCCGGTTCTTACATCAACGCCCATACTGAACCATGCAGAGCAGAAACAGTGTTTTCAGTTACCAAAGTAGTGTATAGCAATGAAAAGGAGGGAGGGGAGGAAGCAAGCTCCGTCTCGTACAAAACCATGCCCTGGGCTGCCCTGCTGAGGCTGGGCTCCAGCAGGTAATTCTCACATCTAGCCCAGTGTTTGTCACAGTTAAGACCCCCGTGGTCTTGTCGTCATGTCCCCAACCAACCAAAAAATCTATTCTTCGGTTAGAACGTGAACAAATAACCCCCTCTTCTTCCTTCTTTTCGTCCCCTCCTCCAAGTCGACGGCCACAAATCTCCTGAGACAGGACAAGGCACGCAGCAGCAGGGAAGAAGAGGCAGGCTGCGGTTTTCGGGTGCACGGCTGTGCCTCAGCGGAGCCAGCGGCGGGGCAGGTCGGCGAGGCCCCGCCGGCAGGAGACGCAGCCAACGCCAGCGTCCCGTTGCCGTCGGGAGCACTCAGGTGCGCTGCTCGTGAAAACACCGTCGTGTTCTTGGTTTGCGTCTCCTTCGGACGCAGCGCCTGACTGCGTCGGGCTGTGCTGCTTAGGTGGAAATAAGCCGTGCTCTGCTACAGCTGCTCCTTCTCCGGCAGGCGGCACGGTAGGCACAAGGGCATGGCACCTGGGGCTGACTTTTGGGTTATTATTAAATGCTGTAACCCGCACCTACCCCCCGGGTGTTCCCTGAGTTGGCTGCTCTGCCCCAGAGCATCTGCAGAAAGACTCTGCAGGGGCACCACAGTGTTTGCAGGACTCGGATTTCTCTTCCAGGGATGCAGAAGAGGAGGCACGATGAGAAACGAACCTACTTCGTTGAGGATTTTTTGTGTTTTGTCTTTGCCGGTTAATCCCAGCTACGCTCCTTGTTGCTTTAGCATGGGCCAGAGCACCAGCTGCCTGGCAGGGAGGCAAATTTGGAGGGCAAGGACCTGGTGCGCTACCCTACGTGGTTTGAAATAGGTATCAATGTTAACATCTACATTCGTCAATAAAAGTTAGCTGGGGAGAGGTAGGCAGACGGCTTCCTCCCTTCCTTCACCCATCAGAGACCTGGGTGAAGAACCATCTGTCATGTAGGACCAAAGCTGATGCATAAGCCCAAAAGAGATAGTCACAGCCTTGTGGTGGCAAAGGGCTTGAGTGGACTTTTTTGGAAAGAGGTGGCATTAAGTTAAACTGTATTACTCGTTCTTTCACCCGTGCAATCCCTTGAGGCTTCACACTATCAGAGTGACAGTAGGGTGGTTTCTGTTTCATTGCTCTCTGTCTTCAGAGCTTATTCTCTGGCATGCAGGATCCCCTCATGGGATGCCCTTCCTTTAGCGCAGTGTTTAAGTGCTGACAACCTGACATTTCTTGTAACTGATGTTTAGGGGATTTCTGAATTGCAGGTTTGAACATCCTATATTTAGGATCTGGTCTTTGCTGGTTGTCATTCAGTCTGTGCAAGTGGGACTCTTATCAGGACTGACCGGTCAAATCCTGGACTTGCAATCTGGTTTTCTTTTTGAAGCATGCCTTCAAAATGTTACGCTTTGGGGAATTTGGCCTTCCTGTGTTCCAGAGGGTCTCTGCAAAGAGAAAAGAAGTCTTCTAGGTGAAGTACATTGTGAGACTGATGTACACGACATTAGCAGGGAGAAATGAAAGAGCTACTGAACTGAAGTATTTTTCTGGCATAATAGTTGTGTATGTTATTTGCGTATTTCCTGATAGAAATGCTGTCTGCAAAGTCCTGTCGTCCCTCCTGCCTCCCCACATAGCGGTGTTCTCCTGTGCAATTAGTAGTTTAAAATATCTGCTCTTCCCTTCTGCCAGAAGGAAGCGTGTGATCTATCACCTCCAGGACTCATTCAGATGGCCAAGTGGCCTGGGTCAACTTGTACCTGTCCAACTCTTCCCAGGAAGGTAAGGGAAACAAACTGAAGAGAAATAGCACTCGTTGAGCCTATGCCTGCACCAGAGTCAGCCAGGACCATCTTTCCAGCCCCTCATGGAGCTCTGGCAGCCTTTGCTCCTAGGGTTTGGTGTGGACGTGGCAGCCCTTCTTCTCGATGGTCTGCACCGGGTGGATCGGTAGCACCAGGTGGGAGATGCGGCTCCACAGCCCACTCAGTTTGTCGGAGTCCATGTGGTCGTAGGAGCTGGGGGTCCTGGTGTTGGTGAACTTGGCCCAGAGGAAGTCACGGACCCTCTCTTCCACCTGCTGGAGGCTGATGTGGGTCTCCAGCGTCTCCTCCTCCAGCAGCACGGTCAGCAGCAGGGCCACATCCTTGAAAGCAGCGCTTTCATGGTCGCAATATTTGTAGAAGATGAGGGTGGCCCCCGCCGGCAGCAACTCGAAGCGGTGTATCACCGCAGCACGGCCCCCAGCCTGGAAAGCTGAGCTCAGCTCTGAGTCCACCTCCAGCTTGGCCTCGTCGCTCTGGAGCCTGGATTTATCCGTGCCATCGATCTGGACCGTGCTGGCATGCAGGGCAGCCGAGTAAGCATCAGCCACATGGCTGCTAAGGCATCGCAAGGTCCGCTCACCCTTACGGGCGGCCGTGAAGATGACGATGGCCGGCTGCGTGTGGTGGGATGCATTGAGGTGCTTCTGCAGGAGCTTCCGCCCACGAAGCCACAGCTGGGGACTCTGCCCCGGAAACCTGTCCTGCAGCTGGTTGAACTGGGACAGAAAGGCCTCCACCATGGGGTTCCTGGGGGTCTGCTGGGACTCGGCGGTCGGGTTGCCGAAGCTGAATATGCAGAAGCCGAGCAATACGAGGCTCACGATGACAAGCCCTGTTCAACAGGGGAGAGACCCGAGACAGGGAACAGAAGTCAGTCCCAAGTGACCTGCACTGCTATGCTGGGAAGTAGCTACAAGGGCTCTTTTTCCCCTCCCAGGCCTTCCCCACTACGCCCCGAAAGCGGTTTGGGTTGGCACTCTCCCTGAGGGCCCAGGGATGGTGAAGAGGCTGCTTGCCCCGTGTTGTGAGACCCATGCTCCTACACATCAGCCAGTGAGGGCTACAGCTCCAGAGGTGGAGGCAAGGCTACAGCTTTGTTGTCGCAGTGCAAGATCTCCTGAGGAAACTGCAGCTGCCCACAAGCTTTCTTCTCTTCCCTCCACTCTGTTTGCTTTAAGGTCATTCGGAGCACCTGCCTCCACACACGGAGGCATCTGACCCAGCTAAGGTGTCCTACTCACTGCCTTCCTCCCAGCTATGCTGGGTGAACAAAGGCTACCATGCTTCTGCCCAGAAAAGGAGGACAGCGAGGTACAGACACAACTGCTTGCGTTCCTCTCCATGGCAAAGCCGAGTCTCTTTCTACCAGGAGAAATACGTGATGTGGATCAGCATCACGGTTCCTACTTGGGACCCACAGCACAGAGGGGGTTTGGGAAGGGGGAGCATCCGCGTAGGAGCCTCAGACCTCCCAGGACATGCCAGGGTACTCCTGGCATGCTGCAGATGACGTTCCTGTGTTTGAGGCTGGAGAGCTGGAGGGAAGGCTGCTACTCTAGGGGCTGGTTTTTCCCTCAAACCCTCAGAAAAGGCTGTGAAAGGTCCTGAGAGAAGAAGAATGCTTCATTACTCGTTCCTGGAGGATCAGTGCCTTCTGGACAATGGGTAATGCACAGGGAAGCTGCTTTTCCTCACCTTTCAGCAAGAAGGACTCTTTGGCCTTCTCCTGGTCTGTGTTCCGTGTGGTGATGTTCTGCAAGCAGGACGGAGCCTCTGGCTTTGGGGCTGTGTGCCCTACAGTAAGAGAAAGAAACGTGCCGCTCAGTGTTGAGGGAAGAGGTAAGTCGGGCTGTAGTAAGAAAAGCATGAGAGCTGCCAGGAGCTCACAGCTGAGGGCAAGAGTTAGAAGTGAATATTGCTCTGGGTTAATACTGCTTTGAGTCTTGGCCACCCCTGCTTTTGGGGCAGGGGAAGGAGAAAGATGGTGTGGAGTGCAGCGTGGTCCCGTGCCTTTCAAAGCAGGACAGCAGCCAAAGGAGAGAGAAAGAGAGAAACCCGTTAATTTCTTGTATCTTCTTTCCTCCTCGACTCCAGAAAACTGACGACAGGCACTAGAGAGCTCACTACAACCATTTTTCTAATGCCTATGGAAAGCGTAGGCACGTGCACGGTGGAAGAGCAGCAGTGTGCAGCCACCAGCTCACCTTTGGTCCCATGTCTGTTCCTTAATGTGCTTTGGGATCCTCTCTCCTGTGTTTCTTGCTCTATGTGCTCTTCTGGCTCCTGATCTTGGAGAGGGGCAGTGGTGCTCTTCTCTGCCAAGAGGCCCTTGGTGACATCTTCTGTGGCAGTCATGTCCCAAAGTGTTATTTTACTGTCAGAGCTCAGTGACTTGCTTCTTGATGAAGCACCTTCCTCAGCTGTGTAAGAGCTTCCACACTGCTTGCTGGTCTCCTGGTCCTCCCCTGCTTCCTGGTGGACAGGGCCATCTCCTTGGCTGGCCGTTTTATGGTGGGCCAGCCTGGCTGTAGGGCATAAAATTTGCAGACCTACGCTTAGTCTCATTCTGCACAAGAACCAACAACCCTTTCTCCTGCTCTGCCTCCTCTAAGCAAAGGCCCAGGTTGTCAGCATTTTGGAAATGCTGTACACACAGACGGGGAGAGACTCACCTTCATCCAAGTCGTCGTCTTCCTGGGGTCTTTCTGAGACACCATCTCTGGTATTCCCAGATTCTACCCGTGATACTTCCGTTTCCTGAGGAACCTTCTCCTCTACTGTGGGGTCAGCTGAATCCAACAGCGTCGTCTCTCCTCCGTCAGCGGTTGGGGGTTTACACACCAAAGAGTCCTCCTCTGGTGTGCAGGGGGTCTCAGGCCGCCTGCTTGCCACTTGGTGCCCAAGTGTTTCTGGGGTGGGCTCTTGGTGCACAGGATGCTCTGCTGTGCTCTCCACCTCCTCTTGGGCTGGCCCAGCTGTTGGGATCAGAGTTCACAAGCTCAGCTGGCCGTACAGGAGTCAAGAATACCCAGTGCTTTACCACCACTCTGTAAAACTCCCAGTTCTCGCATTTCAGAAACATCTACCCGCAGCGAGGTGGGGGAAGAGAACGGCGTGGCCAAAAGTGAGAAAACTCGTGGCTCAGGATGAAGACAGCTGAACAGGTGAAGGAAGGGGGGGAATCACAAGCGATGCAAAGGCAGTCGCTCACCACCTCCCACAAACAGACCGATGCCAGGCCAGCCTCTGAGCGATGGCCACCTTGGAAGCCAACCCTCTCTCCCTTTCTTCCTGGACCGCGGGTTTTGCTGCTGAGCGTGATGTCCCACCTTGGGTCCTTGCCCAATCTTGTGCCCACCCCAGATGATCTGCTTGGCAGGGGGAGAGAGGGGAAAAAGAGAAAGCCGTGACGCTGTGCCAAGCACTGTTCCACAACAGCCAAAACACTGCTGTGTTATCAACGCTTTTTTTTTAAAAAAACCCCACAAATCCGAAACACAGCACTGTACAAGCTGCTACGAGGAAAGTTAACTCAATCCCAGCCTATGTCCCACGCTGTCCTATGTGGGGTGGGCAGGCAATTCTTTCCTTTAAGTGATTCACTATTCCACAGATAGTGAGTTTTCTTAGGCTGGTAAATTAAGGCGATGGATTTGAAGCGTCTCTAAGGCTGTTGAGGACTGGCCAGAACAGTTACGCACTTCAAGCAACTGTCTGAACGTAAATGTTAGCTCTGCTTGTGCTCCTTCCCTGCTCCTGTTCTGGAGCTGCTCTCCCAAACAGCTGTGGTAACGTATAATTAAAAGCAAACACTGGAGCATAACTCAATAGAGAAATTCTGAGGCCGAACATCAGCGTTTGCAAGATACTCTGAACCTCACAAAACCAAACGGTGCAGCTCAAATTTCAGGCGCTATTTGTGAAAAATTGCTTATGAATGATCAAGTACTACAACGACATAGAAATTATTATGATAAAATCAGAATAAAGACTCTGATAAAAATGGCAAGGAACTCCCTACTGATTTGAGAGCGGAGAAAAAGCTGCACTTGTCACATGTCAGAACATGCTGTCATTTGGAGCGTGATTTTTACATTCCTTGTTGCTGATTGTTACGGGAACACTTCTGACCGCCTAGGGCGGACCTGAGCCGGTGATAGCATCACGGTATCGCTGAAATACTCACACGTACTAGTCATAAGAAGGCACTCCGAGAATGCAAGTACACGGTAGAAACTGAGATATGAGGAACCTGGAGGTATCCTGCTACTCAAGCTGGGCACAAACAGTACTCCTTGCCCTGCCTCCTCCAGAGTTTTCCCATCCATAGGTGGTGGAAAACCGGCTTATTATTTAAGCATCTGTAGATGGGAAGCACTGGGACACGGGGAAGAAAGCTCTCCCAGTCTGGAGCTCCATCTTTAGCCTTCCTTGTGCTGCCACCCTGGACCCAGAGTCTGAACCTGTTGCAGATGGGAATCCAAAACTGAAAGTAACTTGTTAATCTTTCACCCTTCAGAAGAAGATAGCAACTTTCTTTTCTTGGCCTGGAAAAGAGGTGTGGCCTTTTTTTTATTATTTTTTATTGTTATTTTGCTTAGGTTTCCCATACCACTGTTGAAATCTTCTTGCAAAGGGATTTTCCGAGCAGATGGAGTAAGCCTAGGATTCACTTACCTCCAGAGAGAGCCACACCTGGATTCTCTTCCATTTTCTTTCTCCCTTGGAGCTCTGGCTTCTGCACCGCTTTGTTTCACTTTCTCCTTCGGTCATAAGGAGACGTATCCCTCCTCTGTTCGAGTGGCTGCCCAAGTCCTTCCCCCGTCGCGGACGCCATCCGTCTCGGTCTTGGGACTTGCAACCAAACGCCCACAAACCTGATAAGCAGAAACACAGGAGCGGTGATTGATGGTGCAGAAGGAGAGTCCTCCCTCCACGGTGACAAAGGTGGTGTCAAATTGGGTGGATGCCACCGATAACCGCGAACCTTCAGCCCAAGGGCTATTAGCCGTTTTGCTTCCCGGCAGGCTACAAGCAGTCCACGGGCCAACGCAAACCGCAGTTGGCTTCAGTCTACAAGCAGTCCACGGGCCAACGCAACCCGCAGTTGGTTTGGGGCGAGCCAGCGGGGTGAGGCACCGTTTCCTCGTCCGGACGGACACGGGTGGACTCACCTGTGCTCCAAGATGGCAGGTCTGGAGCCTGGGGCGCGGCAGGCTGCCCCGCGCGCTTTCGGGCACCCGGTGTCTCACAGCCAGGTCGACGCAGAGCAGCGAGCC